ATGGATCATCACTCCGCAGTTTGAACCTTTCGGAATCTTTTTTCCATCTTAATATATTTTTAAAAATATATGTTGCTTAAATATAATATTTCACTCATCTATACAGGTTAATTCAATTATATCAAAATTAATATAATTTAATAATAATAAATAGCATGCAATCAATATTTCCATACATTTATATGTTTCAGTTAAAATAAGACAAAATTTTACTGAGTAGAAATTTAAAACATTCATAAAATTCTTTTAATAAAATTATATTAGGCATATCGAATTATAAACAATTTGCCAATTAAGAGTAATTACTTATAATGATATTTCTTTAAAAACTTAATTTTAAAATTTGCTAACGTTTTTCTTGATTTTTTCGAGCGTTTTCAGACATGCATATGTTATTAGTTTTTAACTCTTTCTTCCCTGTGGGCACTAAGAGGGCCTTTTTATCAAGCCGTAAGAATTCCTCATGTATATGTGTCTAATTGATATAGACTAAGAATAAAAAAAACCTACTATATATTCAGCTAGGCCAACAGTAGGCGGCTGGGTGATGAAGGATGGGCTCGATATTTTTGGAATAAATTGGGATTGTTCGCACAGGTTTGACCTTGAATCTTCAGAGCAAATAGACTGATGTTTTAACCGCTTCGATCATCCGGTCATCGCTAAACATAGAGTAACTAACTTAATGATATATCTGAATACCGGATTTTTTGAGCTGTACTTAAGCTAAATTATTAAAACAATAATTACATATAAATTTTAACTGATATTCAAATTAAAATGATTTGCCGGATTATCTTCACCTAAATACTTATATCTTAAATAGGAGTCAGTTTCATATAAAAGTTCTTCTGGAGCATTCTGTCTCGGAGCATTTGCGTGTGACGTTATTATTATTCAATGGTTATTTGAGCCTCTTGGGCCCTTAACCGCCGCGACAATCTCTCCTTCCATTTTTCCCTGTCTTATGCCTCTTGCATCCAGACAGGCAGTACACCCACTGTCGATCCGTCTCCAATCCATCTTTTCATCGCACTGAAGGGCGTCCTACAGGTCGTTTACCCTGAGGCTCCCCGGTCAGCACTTTGTGTACATGTCGATTCGGATCGGTGCAGGCTACTTGTCCTGTCCTTCTAGTGTAATAGTTTGTATGATGTCATAGTCGTCATTTTGCGATGTAGTTCCTCATTGTGCATCTTTATCCAAGTACCAGTTCTATTATTCCGCACGGGTCTAAAGATTCTTCGTTTTCAAACACTCGCAATTTGTGTTCAGTGAATCTATGTACGTGCCATGTTTCATAGCCAAAGAGCAGCATTGGTCGGATGATGGTTTTAAAAAATATTAACTTTACCTTTCTGGAAACTTGTTTAAATTGTAGTACTTTTTGCAATCTGAAATTTGATGCGTTAACCAGGTGTCACGTTGCCATAATCAAATAAACCAAACCAAATTAATTGAATGAATTTTTTCTAATCTTATGCTTGAAGAATCTATAAATTAGATCTACATAAATTCTACATTACTTGTAATTAGTTTTTTTGACATGATTAAAAAGGCCCTGATAAATATTAAATATTTTTATAGCAACTAAACTAATCATTAACTTAAGTTATTTTTATATTTGGGAATAATAGTTATAAAAATCTGTAATATTTTAGAGGTTTTTCAATTAATCAAATCAAATATGTAAAAAAAATGATTTGTCTCATAAACTTTAGAATTTTTCATAGTTCTTAAGATTAGTTTTAAATTATCCAAATAAAGACATTTAAGATGAAAAAATTGCTTCAAGTAAAAATTTATGACAATCTAGATGACAGTAAAAGTTTTTCTTTGGAGTCTTTCTTTGGTAAAGATAAGTATATAAAGATAGCACACAAGAATTTTATTATTATTTTTCACATTTTGTTTGTAACGAAGTAAAAAAGATATAAGTTTAAATAGTATGGCGCTACTGCTCTAGGTGGACTCGGAATCGAATCCGCGAGTTTTTAATAGGCCATCTATCCTGGATATGTTCCACTCTCTCCCTCATTACCTGACGCTTCTATTATGGAGCTGACCAAACCCATGATGATAAAAAGAGCCTTCTTTGTGCTGACAGAGCGAAAAGAAACAAAAGTTAATATTTATACTGTATTTAAAAGGTGATTAATTTTATTAAATATATAGAAATACCAACCAATCTCGATGCTTTCCGTTAATTTTCTTCCAATCATAGGCACTGGGGTGTATATTCTAGAGCTCTCCTAATTCAAAAAATATGCTTCTTTAAAATTCAAAATTATTAAATAGAAATTAATGGCCATTGTTTTAAGGTTCAGCTTTCCTTCTGGGGAAACAATGATCAAATTCCAGTAAATCGTGTAACCAAGAATTTTTCATGTGTGGTCCATCCGGATATGTCGAACCCAATTTCACACACCCAACTACTCCATTGTAATGCTGTTCCTACAAGAGGTAAGACCAGCGTCACAATAGATAAGTTTTAAAAAATGACCCTCATACTGCCCACATAAAAAAGCCAAAAATGGAAGGGAAAACACTGTTAAAACAAACAACGAAATTATTTATTAAATAATTATTCTGTTAATTTACAATGAATAAGTTTTACTTTAAAGCACATGTTTTTATATTTTCATTTATTAATTAACTCTTTCCGTACTGTGGGCACCAAGAGGGCCTCTTTTTATGGATTCGGCCAGACTCACAATGGAGCAGCTGGGTTCCTTTAAAGCACACTGACAAACTTTTCATATAACTATTTTAAAATTAAAATTAAAATGATTGTTTCTTTGTATTCAATATTTGACCTATTAATATTAACTATCATTACTAAAATTATTAATAAAAATTTTTTAAATATTTACTTTAATAACACATTCCATGTATTTCATTTTTTTAATGTCATCGTGAGTTATATTTCTCTCGATATCACCTCCAAATACCTCATCAACTTCTTTTATCAGTTTCTGTTGAACATGTTGATTATTTCCCAACAAATAGCATATCCAGATCAAACCGTAAGTTGTCGTATCGTGCCCCTTTAAAGTAATATATCAGAAGTTATGGAACTTATACGTTTTATGTGAAACGAAATACAGTACTTACAGCAAACATAAATATGTCGACTTCTTCCTTCACATCTTCCAAAGTGAAAAAAGGATCTTTAAAATAGCAATCCAGAACAGTGTCCAAGAAAGGTTTTCTTTGTTTTATATTCAAGTATTGATCTTCCTTTGAGATTTTCTTCTCGTTCTTTTTATTTTCTAAAATTTTTTTCCTTGCTTCTATCACCTGCGATAAAATGGATAAAAAAATAATATAATAATAATTAAAATTTAAAAATTAAATATTATTTTTAATTTGCTTCTTTTCTTACTCGCATAGTAAAACTATTCATTATTTTTATACATTTTTTGAATTTTCTTCCTTCAGCACTCACATAAAATAGAAAATTGGGAATGACAGCTCTTTCAAATATTCTCTTTGTAATTATCTCTCTGACGCTAAAAATAATTAAATATTAATCCAATTCCTCTTATATATATTTAAACAGAACATCTTAATTAGAAAAAGACTTTACCAGGGACCTTTATATAATCACACTTACAAGTCGAGAGCGTCTACGTACTCTAAACTCCCTTGATTTTGCACATTCATCTGGATTCCCATAGCTGTTTCTGATTTTTATAAATCATAAAACAAAGTATTAAATTAATAATTTTATTTTTTCTATAAATGTTACCTTTTCAATATAAAAGTTAGCTATATACAGAACAGAGACGTTTTTATGCATAGGTGAAGTAGGAATCTGCCTACGATTGAAAATTTTTACAGTTGACTAATTACATGATCTTCTGTAAAAGCAATATCATTATGTAACAACAAGGGTTTGGGCTGCAATTTAAAAAATTGTAGACCTGTAAATTCCCACTGTTAACAGGAAAAGTATGATGTACAGGATTTAAGACACTACTAAACTTAAATGCATTGTGACGAAAAATTGCAGCCCGGCATTATGAAGATGTCACAATAAATAACTGCTCGTTCGGAATAAAATGCTTTCTAAATGAAAGTAACTTAATTATTTTTATTATAAAAAAATTAATGTCAATAAATATTCAAAAATTAAAATACANATAGAAATTATTGACTTTTTTAAAATTCATTCGATGCAGTGTAGAAGTTAAAAAAATCAAAAACCCAATATAATGTAATGTATTAATGTGTAAGGCAAAGATGCTGTCCGGATACGAATAAAAAAGTCTAAATCGTAACTGAAAAGAACTAACTTTTTCATTTTATTATATAAATTACTTTATCGAAAATTAAAAAAAAAATAAGTTTTGCATATAAAACAGTTATTATAAGTAATAGAAATTAAAGTTGTTTTATTACCCAAAAATTGCTTTTAACACTTAAATTATTGGAATTCATTTCAAAAATTTCACTTTACATGATTTTAATTTTTGTTTGGCATGTTTTTATTCTTGATAATATCAGATAACTTAAAAACTAAGTTCTTAATATCTTTAAAAAAACCAGTAACGAGTTGTATAATTTCCTGACTGTTAAGAGATTTTATTTAAAAAATAACTTTTATGTTATTAATCATACTATTGTGTTAATATTGATAACAGATGGCGTCATACACAATTTATTTATGGGATTGTATCATAAAACTTTTGACATTATCTATATATATAAAATTGCTTGTCCTGACTGATTGACTGACTGAATGACTCACTGACTGATTCATCATCGCTCAGAGCAAACCGCTTGACCTAAAGAGGTGAAATTTGGTACACAGTAAGGGTATGTCATGGAAACGTACACTAAGAATGGATTTTTCGAAATTCCCCCGCGGGGAGGGGGAGGAAGAGCATTAAGGATTAACCGGAAAAACAGCTTCTACTGTACTATTTTAGATGCAATTTTTTTGTTTTTATCTGACTTTTAGTAGGGTATGCAATGGCAATGCACACTAAGAAGAGCCTTTTCGAAATTCCTTCGCGGGGGGAGAGGAAGAGCATTAGGGCTTAACCGGAAGAACGGCTTCTACTGTACTTTTTTAGATGCGAGTGTTTGTTTTTATCTGACTTTTAGTAGGGTATGCAATGGCAATGCACAATAAGAAGGGCTTTTTCAAAATTCCCTCGCGGGGGGAGAGGAAGAGGATTTAGTCTTCATCGAGTACTTAGGTGTATTAAATTAATAACATTTCAGACATTGTTATTAANGTCGTGTTCTAATTTTACACAGAAAGAAAATTTTCAGAAAGGTCGAAAACCTTTAAGTTTTGAAATATATTAATTCATTCATTAGTTAAAAATATATATTAAAAAAAATAAACAATACAGAATCGAACATTGTCAACTTTGACGAGACGAAAACTCAGTTCAGGATAAAATCTTCCACATTTATGTATTTTTTAAAAATGTAATTTGTATGATATCAATGAACTTTACCTGTTAAATTCTAATAACTTCATTAAAAGTGATATCTAATTAATTAGTTATTATTTTTAAAAACTCTTTCCTTTTTTTGAAGGCATTTTTTGAAACAAAATAGGCTCACAACGGGCAGCTGGGTGATGAGAGACGTAACCTGACAGATCCAAATGGACTATCATCCCCCTAAAAATTCCTGTGGTTTCTCCGATTCGATAACAAATCCCCAAAACGGTTATTAATTATCCGAAACATAGTCTTATCGGAATGTATAATTGTTTGTCGTAATTATCAATTATATTCCTTGTGTAACTCCAAATCGAAATGAAAGGTCATTTCGATTTCACTAAGAAAGTCATTTTATACCCCGAACTTATTATTTTTTTTTTGTTAGTATATTTTACAGAGAAATATAATATCATGTTTTAAAAAAGTTTTAAAAAATTACAGAAAAATATAATTTCGTGTTTCAATTGATTCTGCCATAAAAACGTGAAGAGTTCTGTGAACCTCCTTGATAGCTAAAGGGCAATTTTTAGAAATTTATTCACTATTTTTAAATATTGTATATTATGTTTGGATGAAATTATTGGTTACTTTAATAAATCGTTAATTTAAGACGTTTATTCCGGAAGTAATAAAATACAAGATTTAAAATAAGTCTATTAAATTATTAGCAATATTAAAATTTTAATAATTTTAATGGCGACAATAAAAACTGTGTATAGTATATTAAACAAGTATCAGCAAATATAAACACTTTAAGAATAGAAAAAAAATTCTTTATAAAGATTTTATAATGATTAAAAATATATTAAAATTGGATTTAATCAAATAAAGTATAGTTCAAGTAATTCAATATGTTTTATATTTCAGAATAAACTTTTTTTACGTAGAGGTAAACGTACTATGCTGGCTGTTATGTAATAATTTCCTGTGTGCTACCGAAGGTGGTCATTATTATCGATGCCCTCCGGTACTTATTCAATTTTTAGAAGATTATATTCTGTGTTAAGCATTTCTAGTTTATTGACCACTTTGGAAAGGTACTTTCAATCAAGCATAACTCCCCCTTCCAAATTTAATACTTGAAATATTTGAAAATTGAAAAATATGGAATTTATTTTTTATTATTAAGTTACTATTTTCTATCTTATTCACTAAATTTCCTTCGCAATAAAATGCGTATTATTATATCAAAATTGAATTTTTGTATAAAATATTGAACTTCAATTTACTACGCTATTATAAAAGTATGATATACAGGGCAAGACACTACAGTACTAATTTGAGGTGGAGAGCATATATTTTAAAATTAAATAAATTAAAAATATGGTTTAAAATTGCAGCCTGCATTGTGAAGCTGTCAATAATTTTTGCTCGTTGAAACCGTAACATTTGCTACATAAATTTATAAATGTTTCAAAATAATTAGTAAAATAAAAAGTCTTGTAATACATACTCATGGTTTAATCATTATTGATAATACGCATTACCATAAAATCAATTAAAAGTTTTGTAAAAATTTCATTTTATTATAATACAATTTTTTAACTTTTGAAAGATAATTTATATTATCTATGATCATTACATAAAGCCCAGTAGATTATTATGTTTTACTCAAATGAAAATGAAATCTAATCAGATATGATAATAATTATTTTATCGTTTAATTTTAAGTAACATATGTTCTACTTTTATATAACATCAACAATAATTGCTGAATAAATAATATAATTTTATATACGGTATTACGTGTAAACTAATTAGCATTCCATATGTTGCAATGATAAAGAAATTAAAATGAGTTCAGATAATGACCCATCTGCTAAATCCCATTGAATATTTGTTTAAATAAGGACGGAAGAGTTGATATCATAACAGTTTTGTATTTAATTCTCACAGATCAATATGAAATACTTTATTGCGTTGGTCGTTTTGGCAATTGCTATAGCAGAGGTAAGTTTTTGTTAACAATTCAAATTAATTAATGAAAGTTAATTATAAATTTTATTTTTCTCAAATTTAGATTAATGCCGACTGCCTACAACAATCCGACTGTCCTGCTGGATATTGTTGTAAACAAGTGAATTCTTATACTGATCCAAAATGTTTCCCTATGCTGAAACAAGGTAAGAAATTAGAAAATTTCTATTAATTGTGAAGACAAATGTTTAAAATTTGCAATTTTCAGGAGAAAAATGCAGCGTGAGAGATAATATGAAGTACGATATTTACCAGTTCAGATGTCCTTGTGAAGAAGGACTTAGTTGCACACAATTTGCTGTAAGATTTCATTTATTGTTTAAAGATTTTAGTGATAGTTTAAGGTTATAAGCGGATTTTGTTATCATAGTACATGTATAAAGTAGTACAGATGATATTTATATAGTCTTTATACGATTATAATTTAAAACATATATATGCATACGCAATAAATTTAGATTAGTATATGTTATTAATTTATTACGTCAAAATTCATTGTAAATCTGTTTTTTATTGATTTAATATTTATAGGAAGGTATCTGGGAAGGACAGTGTAATTGAAAAGTTCTTCAGATTCGTTTCAAACATTGCAATTTGTATTGAAGTTTCTGGTAAATAAATTCTGTGAAAATAACCTTGACATTGTCTTATATTCAGTGATTATCACTACTCTACACAGCGATCCTTGCGTAGAGTACGGTCCGGATACGGTCCGTTAAAGCTTCATATCCGGCCCGCGGCTTTGATGATTTATTTTCTAAAGATCAATGTTTCTAACATATTGCGAGAACAAGATACAGAAGAAATTCAAACGTTTAACTGTTTACAAAGTCGTTAAAGTAACAAACGGACATTTGCTACAGCCTTTTTTCAATTACAGTATGTTTCAGTTTACCGAATAATATTGAATTCGACCTGCGTCTGATATACATCTATTTGACTGGCTCTTTGCTGCATTTGAGTTGGCGACTCCTCCTCTATATTGTTAAACAAAAAATATCTAAAAAAATCATAAAGATTAGAATAAAGAGAAAATATTTTCGCTATAATAACGTGTAAGAAATGAGAATTTAATCACTCTTCCAAATTTATTTTATCATTACTTTTTATTTTAAGCATAAAGTTTACTCAATAGAGTATGCGATTCTCAACATGGGGTACCCGAAAAAAATTAATAATAGCGATTGCACTATAAGAATATTCGGACTCTCCGTTGAGGCCTCTGGCGACGGTACG